TCCGGACTCCTCCCAGCCTTTTCACTGCACCAACTGTGCCAACTGGGTTTGGTAGTCGGTCACATGCATATCGGCACCAGTGCAAAGACAGGGGGTGGAGTATGGCCGCCGCCGCGCCTGCGGTTGAGACTAATGCACCTCCCACATGTTTTAGCTAGTTACATCAACAATGCTGTGCCTGTGGGACGGTGCGAGCTGGTGACTTAACTTGTCATGCTTGAACACAGCAGGAGAGAATCTTTGCTAATTAAACCTTAAATACATGCCTTAAGTATGTAACATATGGCTTTCAAATTAACAACAGGGTGTAAGGGAGCTGACCGAGTAAGGCTTGGCAACAGGCCAAAAGGAAGTTGCCCTGCTAGCTGGCATATACTGATCTTTTGCGTTGGATAAGTGCAGCTAAGCCTAAGGGCTTTGTTTACGGCCGCGCCTGAATGCATATCAAGTCACTGCAAGTGGCTGAAATTGTAGCTTAGATGCGGCAGGAGCAAAGCGAGTATAGCCTCTAAGCTAGGTTATGTACGGCAGCCGTATGGCTTGCTGAGAATTCGAATTTACTATTTCAGCTGACAGCTCCATAGTTCCGGCATTCTGCCTACACTATTGGAGCTTATTATTATTGTTGCTCTCACTTTTTTCCAAGACCTTACCGACTACCCTCAAGCCTCATCGACGCTCTACCACAACGAATCGACATCGCCGCGGACCTGCCACTCTCCGAGGAACAACCAGGAGCTCCGTCACAAATCAAAAAATGACGGGTAAGAGGACAAAGGCAACGGGAGATAACCTGGTCAACGCAGGAGCGGCCGAAGCAGCCGGCGAAGGGGGATCGGGCCAGATGCTGCCAGCCAACCAAAACGACATAGAAGCCGCCAGGGATACTTTGAGCGGGAACATAGACCAGCCGACTCTTCACCAGCTGCTGCTGGGCGTCCTGTCAGCAGCGCAGGCCAACGCCCCAAAAGCGCCAGCCAGGGATCCCCAGACAGCACCGCCTCGGGATCGCTCTCCTGACGTTGTCATCACAAAAGACGTGACCATCATGCCATCCGCAAGAGAACAGCTAGCAGCAATAAGGACGGAAGTTCAAGCGAATGACGCACCGAAGCTGACAGCCCCACACGAGCAGCGGGAGCAGCTCGACGAAGGAACGCTAATGCTGCTAGAGACCGCCATCACCGCGCTGGATGCGAACGAACCCCAGCTGGCCGTCGCGGGAGAATGCCTCAAGATCGCTCACCGCCGCCTTAAGTGCTACTCCGTTGCTCTGGCCAAGGCGGCCCCAGGAGCCAACGGTAATTTCACGGCCCCCTACGAAATCTGGCACGGCAGGCGGCGCAACTTCACCAAGCCCGAGTTCAAACCAGAGGCCATAGATAAGGGCGACATAGAGAGTGCATTAGCTAAAACGCGCAAGTCGGTGGCGGCGGACAGGGACGGTCAGGCCGGGTCCCTCTGGCGAGGGAGAGACCGGCAGGGTGGAGTGCGGGATTCGTTTGGTAGTGCACGCCGGAACGACCGCAGCCGCTATGACCGCTACGACCGGCGCAGCCAGCGTGACCGAAGCCGCTCTCGCAGCCCGGCTAAGCGTGGCTGATTAGGATTCTGTTGGGCTTTGTGTTTGCTTGACTCTGGCACTGCACCGATCCTACCCCCCTCCTTTTTTCTTAAGCTCGCTCAGTGGCCCCTCCGTGCAGTTCGCGGTCGTTGTTGTTGCAGGGGCCCACAAGTCCGACAAACATTATTGGGTTGGAACGGAGTATGCTTTGGCCCAGTCTTGACAAGACTTGTTATGGGGGATCCTCAG